CATCCTCTTTAAAATGATAATTAAACTAAATCAATGTGAAAGATATGATACATATAATATTATGATATTAATGAAATTATATTTTCCTAGATATGGTACAGTCCTAAATATCTGTATCAAGCGTGGGACTTAATGGTAAAAGCTTCACCAAATTTTAATAACAGTGATCTATTTAGGTAAGGTCATTTTCAACAAAGCTCCAAGACCAGATAAAATTATGTAGAAAGACTGCAAGGTTCTTTGCCAGTTTCCCTGATAGAAACCTCTTATGCCTAATGAATATGTTCTCCATATTGACAATATGTGTTTTGGATATAAAATCCTGATTAGGATCGCTAGTTTTTCAAATTCTATTATTGAACGTAAGTCATTGCTTATTATCAGAGAAAACAAGCAAAAATCTACAACAAGAATATACTACAATACAAAGACTCTAAACTCTTCAATCCTGTACATTACATTTAATAAGTCTGATTTTTTTTGTAATTTATGCTATGTGTTAATTTTAACATAGATATGATCTAGTAGACATTACTAGAAACAGTTTACAAGTAATATCAATGAAGATGTATTCTGATATTCTAATGGCATACAGTATGAAAAACTCTACACAATTAAAGTAAGTATAGGGTTTTTTCAAGATTATAACATGTTGTCTTAGAAGGTGGCTTTGTTGAGCAATGGCAGTTTCATAGATTTGGATGGGGTTAGATTTTTATCGAGTCCAATTTGGGGAAAAAAGTAATTAAATCCTGAATTTTTGGAAATTTGAAACACTTTTCTTCAATATTATGAAATAAAAATGCATATTTCCAAATAAAAGAAATGTATCATTGAGGTCTCCCCTGGTCCATACTAATCGTATTCATAAAAATCATAATTTCAGACAAGCTGGCGATAGATTCATTATATTACTATCACAATTAGAAAAGTTGTTAGCATCAGATAGACACTTTCTGCTAGCTAATTGGTTAGATGATAGTAAACAATGGGGAAGTAATAGTAACCAATCTAGATTATATGAATACAATGCTAGGAACCAAATTACATTGTGGGGGCCCAATGGAGAGGTAAATTTTATAGTATACCAAAACACATTGAATATTTAAAAGAATTATAAGACCACCTACTATTCCAGAAGGCTTTCATTACAATACAGTCAATATAGACTGTCTAACCTCTTGGCAAAATATTGAAATAGGTTAAAAAAAAACTGTGCAATATACACACATATATACAGTATTGCAACACATGATTCTTGTCCTGTCTGTGTTCGTACAACAAAACAACTTAAAAAGATTTGAATGGTAGGATTTAAGGACTGAAACCAGCTCTCCTAAAAAGGATTTTAAGAAGAATTAGGCCTTTATAGTTCCAATGAGTTGCAAGCTGAGTTTTAGATAACAGGCAACACCATGCCATGAGGGAAGATTTGCAAGGAAATCTAAAGCTTTCTCAAAATATGTCAAGGTATCATAAGAGTGCTCAACCTGTAGTTCACAGGGCCAAAGTTGATTGTCTCAACTCACTAAACCAAATTCAAAATTTGTATCTTTCAGATAGTAGATTATGCTTCTAAACAATGGGCAGGCTTGTTTGCAGAGTAAGTAAACATATATTTACCTTCTTTTATATCAGTTCCAGGTTTTTGCAACTATGGAAACTTCTATTTTTAAGGCACACCAATTTTGTTTGTTTAGTACATAATACCATTTATTTTCAGTTTTTATCAACCAAGATGGCAGTTGTTTATAGATACTTTAATGAATTGTGTTCAAACGGTAAGAGACTATAAATTAAATCTTGATGGTCCAATACTTAGCTCTTACTGAGTTCTCAAGGGAACAGGCTATACCCAAGAGAAATATATCCAGCAGTTTTAGCGGTATTGCAATGCAAAAGACCTCTTTAAAATCAAATTGTGTCTGTTATTAGCCAAATGTATGCCTAGCTATATCTTTTTTAATATAAATTCATATTTCAACAGCAAAAAAAATAAATACAATATTACGAATACAATGAAAAAATGTTCTTTCAGGGGAAATCATTTAATGGTCAGGCTTTTAATGCTGATGTATTGGAAAAAGTAGAGAAACCATTCACATTTTCAAATAAAGTTTATTCTGGAAATCCAGTAGGTTAGTAGTTGATCTTGTCCTTAATTTTATTGCTCTGCTAGATAAAATTGCTATTTTAAAGGATTTTTAGCTGATCTTGTTGAAGTACATGTATTTTGGAAATTTACACTTGTATATAAAAATCTTAAGGAAATTAAAATACTATTGGATGTTTTAATAAATTATTTATGTTGTTTCAGGTGATTCGATGGCAATCGTAAAAACTTTACACGATTTCTACAGACCTCAAACTATACAAGATGAACTATTTTATACTAATCTATCGAGATGGTCCAGAAAAAATAAATATTTCATGAAGAACGTTAAAAGATGGAATAGAAAACAGTATTATAAAAAGAAACTGAGAACACACAATAGATATGTCATTCAAATGAACGTATAAACATCAAGTATCATGTGTTGGTTTTCTGGTAAAATGCAACTGGTTTCAAAGGCAACGACATGTTCCCATGTATATATATATACCCATTCAAGAATCTATGATATAAGACATATACATATACTAAATTGTCTTTCCCTAAATTACTTCCAAATGAATGGTTATTATCATAGTGCTTATGGAAATACAATGAAATAATAGTTTTTTGGTTATAGATCTAAATTACTTGTCTTTTGATATTTTAGCAATTTGAATTACTAACTATGAAATCCATATAATTTTTTCCATGATATTTTTGTTTTAGAAGAGCTTCCATTGATTATTACTTTTTTATAATTCTTGACATTGCCTCAGTGCCTTTCAATGTGTGCTTTGTATAAAGGAAAGGAAAGACTGTCTCATGAAATTAATACATCCAATGTTTTTTTTATGTATATATTATATTCCAAGTTGTTGTAGCTAATAAAATATATTTCAGCCATTAAATAACAATATCTAGTTTTGCTGATTGGATTAATAGGGTCCATCTGTTACGCAGTGGGCAATGAGGAAAATTTTTTGCAGTACACACCATTAGCTAAAGAATCTTTTACATGACAAGGGGAAAAGCATATTCAACAATCTAAAGGTACTATAGTGACCGACGATCTGCAGAACCTCAAGTTAGCAAGCATGCTTCTGCCTAATTCAATGTTAATGCCAGGCAAAATAACATGCGCCCACTACCAGTTGTCAGAAATGATCACAATATATTTAGTGGCTTAATAATGAATTTTCAAATAATCTTAAAATCATCTATAAGTCAAGGTAAAAACCTAAAACAGTTCATAAAATGTCTCATCACAGTACACACAAGAGCAATAATTCTGAAACGGTTCAACCAGTTATTACCAATTTCTAACTTGACCGCAATCTCATTAATATATACATGCATCTAGATTCAATAAGATTGCATAAAAACTGTAGTCTCTATCATGCCCGCAGGCCGAATTTGACAAGTTTTTACTAAGTCAATGGCAATAACTCCGAAACCCTCATCCGATTATTACCAATTTCGAACTCGACTGAGATGTTATCAACAAATACATGCATACCTAGTTTAATCTATGTTGGATAAAAACTGTAGTCTCTATTGTGCCTACAATCGAAATCTGACACGTTTTTACGAAAACAAGGGCAATAACTCTGAAACCATTCTTCAGATTATTCCTTATTTCGAACTTGACCGAGATCTCATCAATATATATATACACATGCATACCAAGTTTCATCAAGATCAGGTAAAAACTGTAGTTTCATTGTGCCTGCAAGTGAAATATGACGCGTTTTTAGTAAGTCGAGGGCAATAACTCTGAAACCATTCATCCGATTATTACTAATTTCGAACTTGACCGAGATCTCATCAATACATACATGCATACCAAGTTTCATAAAGATGAGTTAAAACTGTAGTCTCTGCAAGCTAAATTTTTACTTAGTCAAGGGCAATAACTCTGAAACCGTTAATCCGATTATTACTTATTTCGACAATACATACATGCATACCAAGTTTCATGAAAATAAGATAAAAATTGTAGCCTCTATCGTGCCTACAAAGCAAATTTAATGCATTTTTTCTAAGTAGAGGGCAATGACTCCAAAACCATTCATCCGATTAATATCAATTTCGAACTTGACCGAGATCTCATCAATATATACATGCATACCAAGTTTCATCAAGATCAGATTAAAACTGTTCTCTCTATTGTGCCAACAAGCCAAGATCGGATAAAAACTGTAGCCTCTATCGCGCCTACAAGAAATGTGAACAGACGGACAGACCGACCGACGGACGGACGGACGGACCGATCGACGGACATGGGACATGTTGTAGTATAAAAACGGGTCCCAAAGCACATGCTCTGATTGGTATAAGTCATTAGAACGGGACTGGCGTAGAAAAACCAAATACTCCAAAATTATAGAAATGTGTAGGTGTCTTACCTTCTTTAAAACTGTTTTTCGTGATATTCAGTAGACATAATTCAAAACACAGTTTCAAACATCCATATTACTGCAAAAATGAAATAAAATCAAATAATTTTTTTTGTCATTCTTTTTTTTAACAGCAGTGTGTAAAAGCGTTATTTTGCCATCCTTAAAAAGGGGGCGCAATTGTACAAATTTTGCATCAGGCTTGACATCGGCTGAATGTCCGGTTAAATTTTAAAATATTGATAATAACAGAACTTGCCTATTTGCAAACAGTATTTCATGCTTTTTGATACACAGGATTTCTTTCAAAACCAAAATTTAGCCTTCACCACCATCCATATAGCTGTCAATTGAAATACAATAAAACCAATTGAAGTTTAAAGTCTTGATAATGAATTGACAAGAGCTAGTATCATCCTATTTAGGCGGGTTTCGGATATAAATTGACGAGTCGAAATTTTAACATTTAAACTGAGATAATTCTGAACAGACATGGATTTGAAAACTCAAATTTCTGCCGTGAGCTGTGAACAGTATGATGATTGGTCAAAAAATGGCCTATCTGTCCCTTTAAATATGATTCAATTGACTTATCTTATCTAAAGCTGTAATGTTCTATACACAAGTTTTCTTTCAAACAAAAGTTCACAATGATGTGTACAATCCTCGTGCTACGTTCTAAAATTTGTATGATCTAAATTGTTTTCTAGAAAGATGAAAATTGAAAAAATGAATTAGATTCTACGTATTTTTTTTATTAGATTAGTCATTTCTACCTAACGAATGACCACGTGAATTTAATAATTCATACCATATGATTTGGATCCTATTTTGAACCAAATACAGCGCTATAGGCCAACTGTCCTATAAATAACGAGTGTAATGTTTTATAAGCGGAAAGCGGCCATATTCAATTTGGTGTTAAGAATAGTATTCTCAACAATTGGTTGCCTAGCAAGATACGCCCACTTTCCTGATACATTTTCAGTATATCAAGGGCGGTCACCTATCTGTGTCAAATCATGCCAAAAATCTAATTTGTACAAGATATTGTTGATTTACACAAACACACATTAATTAATAAAATTCTGACATAAACTGTCACCTCTATCGCCAACAAATTTTGATGCGTTTTTACTAAGTCAAGGGCAATAACCCAAAAACCGTTCATTAAAAGATAGCCAAATTCGAAGTCGTCAAAGATCTCATCATTATAAATATTAACACCAAATTTCATTTAAATTGGATGAAAACTGTTTACGTTCACAAGCTAATTGTGGACGGGCGGACAGGGGCGACGACAATATAGGACCACATTTTAATGTGGACGTATAAAAAGCACTGGCCTAAGTCATGAAATAAAAAATCAAAGGATGAGATAGTTGGTGTAGTAACATCAAATCAGCAAGTTCTTACTCCATTCGCTGGTACTTACTACGTTAGTGTTCGAGTGAGATGAGAATAGTATTCTCAAAAAGCACTGGCCTAAGTCATGAAGTAAAAAATCGAAGGATGAGATAGTTACTGTAGGACCACTGCAGATTGGTTAATCGAATATCTATTATTTCTATTATGTTCTATGTCAGGTTCAAAATAGTATGCTGGTCTACAACGAATGTTTACTTTGATATAAAATATAAACATGAAGACATAATATTTTAGGGACATTTTTCAGATCTTAGAAAGTTGTGGATTGAATTTCTGGGCAGTTTTAAGAAATAACTAGGTGGATCGGCTTGTAGAGGCACAGATTTATCAAACAGGGATCACAGAATCAAACAGTTAAGATGCAACATTCGTAAGAACTTGACAAGTTTCGACTCGAATTGGCCATAGTGCTGGTTGCACTTTATTTGAATAAAAAAAACCAATTGAATGAATGAACGAATGAATGAACGTAGTTACAATCAGCAAGCACGTTTTGGGAAAAAAAAAACGCTGCCAACACAAATCATTTTGATACGAAATTCAAATGATTAAATGACTGACTGAATGAAGAAAGAAAGAATTACCGAATGAATGAAATGAATGACAACAATTGTGAAAAATAATGTAGGCACGCATCGGACTATGCACGAAGATGTACCGAATGTTTCGGCCTATGCGTTTGTGAAATAGAAAATATTACTTAATATGTCATAATATTGAATGAATAGCATTAGGGACGAGAAATGCTATCAGACACAAGTCTCAAAATCGATTAGGAGATAATTTCAATAACTCACCTTTATCAAAACTGTTTTTCTAACGTTCAATACACAGAATTCTTTCTGTAACAAAATGAAATTCACATCAGCTACATCATCTAGCACGTGCAGCATTGATCAATAGAAAATTAACATGTGGTCAAAGGGGGAATACATTTAATAATATTGTAGTCCGTAATCAAGACTATATTTTGTGCTGCTCATTATTTAAGCCAGTTTGTAGTCAATTTTATTTTCAAATATTCCGATATTGGAAAGCCTTGTCTTACCAACCAAATAAACAATTATAAGCGAACAAGCTCCAGTCTTTTTTTTTCTAATTCGATCAGTTTCGATCAGGTGCCCTCGATATTTGGCTTCTCGGAATATCACACAGCTAAACAACTTTGTAATATTATTTTTAGTACAAATAAAGGTCAATCCATTGAAAGAATAAATTCAAATGATATATCGATGTAACTAACATAGGACCAGTTGAATAAACTACAACTACTGAGAAAGCCAATATCTACATCGAGACACTTTCTCGATAACCCGAAGGGTCAGGGTTTAATCCTGGTATAGGTGGACTTGAAAGCATGATTTTTCAACCAGGGATACCCTTAACAGTGATGCAGCGTCAAGTCGTTCGATGGTACAAAAATCGTAGTAAAATTCCCCCATTACACACTGCAAGATTTCATCTCTCTTAATTAGTCCAGAATGTGCAGATAAATGGTTAAGTCTAAGAAAACTACCTGTAAAATGTTTATGTCTGTCAATTTGCAGGCTGATGCAATTCATTAAATGGCTATTTTCGTTTGGGTATATTTTTTTCAATTG